GGTTATTGGACATCTGTATATCTTCATGGAGATATTTTCATGGAGATGTCATCCAAACTCTTTGTCCATTTAATTATTAGGTTGTCTTTAATATTTGAAGAGTTTTTAAAAAATTAAATATAAAAGATTTAAGTCCCATATCAGATATATGATTTGCAAATATTTTCTCCTGAACTGTGAGTTATCTTTTTCCTTTCTTGTTGTTGGTGTCTGAAGCACAAAATTTTAAAATTTTGATTGAATTCATTAACTTTCCCTTTCATCACTTGTGGTTTTGGCAACACATTTAAGAAATCACTATCAATAAAAACTTGGAGAACAGAAAAAAAATTATTTTCTAATCAAGGTCAGAACTATTTGCAAAAATGATTTCTTCTAAGAATTTTAGTTTTAGCTTGCACATTTAAGTCTTTAATCTGACATCTGCATACAGTGTGATGTCATGGTCCAAATTCATTCTTTGGAGTATGAATTCTATTTGTCCTACCATCATTTGTTGAAAAGACTATTTTCCCCCCACTTAATTCTCTTGGCACCCTTGCTGAAAACAAATGCAATGTAAATAATGTAAAGGTTTTTTTTCTGGACTCTAAATTTATTTTGATTCACAGATTTATTCTTATGTTACTATCACAGTGTCTTATTATAGATTTGTAGTAAGTTTTAAAATTGGGAAGTATAAGTCCTTCTTTTTCAAGACAGATGGCTATTCTATGTCCCTTGAATTTCCATATGAATTTTAGGATCAGCTTGTCAATTTCTGCAGAAAGGCCAGCTGGGATTTAGATAGACACTGTTTAATCTGTTGGTTGATTTGAGGAATAATGTCATTTTAACAATATTAAATTTTCCAAGATCACAGAATATCTTTTTATTTGTTTAGGCCTTTAATTTGTAGTCTTCAGAATGTTAAGTTTTACATCTCAGTTAAATTTATTTCTAAGTATTTTATTCTTTTTGACATCTTCAGTAACGAAATTATTTTTAGAATTCACTTTTGGAATGTTCATTTCTACTGTATTAAAATATAATTGATTTATGTATATTGATCTTATATTTCGCAACTTTATTAACTTACTTACTAGTGAGTTTAAACTATTATTAGTTCTGATAGTTTTTTTGTAGTTTCCTTACAATTTTCTATAGATAAGAACGTGTCATTTGCAAATGGACAGTTTAACTTCTTCCATTATAATCTGGATGCCAGTTCATTCTCTTACCTAATTCCCCTAGTTAGATAAGGTTGTTCTATTCCTAATCTAGGGGAAAACACTCAGTCTTTCATCATTAAGTATAAAGTTAGCTTTGGATATTCCGTAAAGTTCATTTATCAAGTTGAAGAAATCCTTTCTACTGCTAGTTTGAGTGCTTTTTTGAATCATAAAGGGGATGGTAGATTTTGCAAAATATTTTTTGTGAAACTACTGCTGAGATAACTATATGGTTTTTGTCCTGTATTCTTTCCTTTAATACTTTAGAAATTGATACGGCATAATACATTATTTTTCTGGACTTTCTAAATCAACTTGCTTTCCTGAGCTATCCAAGATATCTGGGATTCAAAGAGATACTACTTTTTTTTTCTCTGAGAAAGTGTCTTACTCTGTTACCCCACGCTAGAGTGCCATAGCACCAGCCTAACTCATAGCGACCTCAAACTCCTGGGTTCAAGTTCTCCTCCTCCTCCTCAGCCTCTTGAGTAGCTGGAACTACAGACATCTGCCACAACGCCTGGTTAATTTTTCTATATTTAGTAGAGACAGGGTCTTCTTCCTGCTCAGGCTGTTCTCTAACTTCTGAGCTCAAAAGACCCTCCTGCCTTGCTTTCCAGGTGCTAAGATTATAGGAGTGAGCCACTTCACCTGGCCAAGATACTTTGAGGTTTAGTCCACTAACCTTACATTGCAAACTGAGCTTTAAAACCAAACTGTGTAACTATTTACCCCAATAGTTTATTAGGGTACTTTTATATTAATTCCTTGTTAAAAAAAAACAAACCACCAAAACCTTTGAAGGGAGGTAACTGAGAGAGATATAAGTCCCTAGGGTTTGTGAAGGAAAAAAGGGTGAATGGAGACCAGAGACTTAGTGCCTCCAGAAATATGTCACAGTTCATCAGCATAACTACTTGGTTTTTTAAAAAAAATGGTAAGATAAAGGACCAAACCAGGAAAATCTTAATCTTACCTGCACGAGATATCGTGGATCCACATTTAAATAAGGAGACAGAGGGTTCATACCAGTTACTAGAGAGAAAACAAAATGTCATATTGCAAAATTCTTTATTTCATTTAGAGTTAATTCAGTTCTCAACTATCACAAGTTTTGCGATTTTCATAGGCTCACTGAATGTGAAAAATTGTCCTGTTTTATACACCCTATCTATTGGTTTGGGGGTTGACTCATCCTCACACTGGTGGCTCAGGCTCTAATACCAATAAGATATGGCAATAACACTGATCAAATTATCAAACTAGTAGGAAGCATAGCCCAGGCCAAGCATAAAGCTAATTTCTTTCTCTTTGCTATAGGAATGCTTGACAACTCCGCAAATTATAAAATAAGACTGACAAGAGATTAATCAATTCTATGGGAAAGAGTAGTTGGGTTTGGTTTCTGTGTTATGTGTTAGGTATAAATATTTTAAGACAGTTCCTTCAGATGTTACTGCTAACAATTAATTTCCCATTAAGGGTTGAGAATTCTTGGGTCACTACCACAGGAGTGAGGATTAGTGCAAAAAAAAAAAAAAAAAATTGCAAACTTTCAGAAGGCCAAAACTGAATTCCACTATCTTGCCAAACAGAAAAACCTATCAAGGAAAATCATCTTTCTCAAATTTTAATCTTTTGATCCTTCTGTATCTCCATTGCTTGTTCACAAATCTAAATATTACCCCAACTCTGATCTTTTCATCACCTGAAAGTCCTATTAATTCCATTTCCTATATATATTTTAAATTGTGTTATTTATTGCCATCTCTACTGCTACTATCTTACCACCAAATAATCACTGCACCAGGGAAAGGCGGCCCACACCTATAATCCCAGTGCTTTGGGAAGCTGAGGTGGGAGGACTGCTTGAGGTTAGGAGTTTGAGACCAGCTTGAACAACATGGTGAGATACTGTTTCTATAAAAAAATAGAAAAATTAGCCAGACATGGCGGTGCACAGAGGCTGAGGGAGGAGGATCACCTGAGCCCAGGAATTTGAGATTGCAGTGGGCTATAACATGACCAGGAAACAGCAAGACCACGTTTCAAAAAATAAAAATAAAAATCTGACAGCAACAAACTCCTATCTAACTCCTTGCTTCCTCTCACTCCTTCAATTAACATTCTACATAGCAACTAAAGTCTTTATTTTTTTGACACAGACTCTCACTATGTCGCTCTTATTAGAGTGCCACAGTGTCACAGCTCACAGCAACGTCAAATTCTTGGGCTTAAGCAATTCTCTTGCCTCAGCCTCCTAAGTAGCTGGGACTACAGGCACCCGCAACAATGCCCGGCTATTTTTGTTGTTGTTGTTGTTATTGTTGTCATTGTTTAACAGGCCCTGCCCAGATTGGAACCCACCAGCCTGGGTGTATGTGGCCAGTACCCTAACCACTGAGCTACAGGCGCTGAGCTATTTTTTTTTTTCTTTCTCTCTTTCTTTTTTTAAAGAGACTAGCTCTTGGTATGTTGCTCAGGCTGACCTTGAATTCCTAGGGTCAGATGATCCTCTTGCCTCACTCAGTCACCTGACTTGGTGGGTTTATAGGTACACACTTCTGTGCCTGACTATATTTTCTTCAGAAAAGGAAATCAGCCCTAATGACTTCCCTCTGCACTTGTAATCAAATCTAAATTTACCATGGCTTATAAAACCATACATTTTCTGCCATTCTCAGCCTCTCTGAAATCATGACCTTCTATCACTACAATTCTCTTATAATTCAGCAGACACATCCACCTAACAGCTGTTCCTCAAACATGCCAAGTTTGTTTCAGGACATTTGTATTAGCCATTCTCCTGGACACTTGTCTCCCACGCCTTTATATCATATTTGGGTCACACCTCAAATATCAGTTCTACTAAGTTGTTTTCCCTGGCCCATTCTATAATGGCCTCCTGCTCTTATCACCACTTTATGATTCTGTTTTATTTCCTTTACAGCATTTATCACTAACTGTGACGGTTTTCTTTTGACAGGCCCACTTCAGTAGTAAGGGAACTCCAAGCTCCACTGACAGGAAGAATCACCTTGGTTGGCACCTGTGGCTCAGTGGGTAGGGTGCCAGCCCCATATACCAAGGGTGCCAGGTTCGAACCCGGCCCCAACCAAAATGCAACAACAACAAAAAGGAAATAGCTAGGCGTTGTGGTGGGCGCCTATAGTCCCAGCTACTCAGGAGGCTGAGGCAAGAAAATCGCTTAGCCCAGGAGTTGGAGGTTGCTGTGAGCTATGACGCCATGACACTCTACCAAGGGCGATAAAGTGAGACTGTCTAAAAAAAAGAAAGAAAGAAAGAAAGATAGATCACCTTATAAGAAAAAAAAATTTTTTTGAGACAGAGACTCAAGCTATCACCCTGGGTAGAGTGCCATGGTGTCACAGCTCACCACTACCACAAACTCTTGGGCTCCAGCGATTCTCTTGCCTCAGCCTCCCAAGTAGCTGGGACTATAGGCACCGGACACAATGCCTGGGCTATTGTTTATGTTGCAGTTGTCACTGTTGGTTAGCTGGCTCAGGCCGGGTTTGAACTCGCCAGGCTTGGTGCATGTGGTCAACGCTGTAACCACTGTGCTACAGGCGCTGAGCCTTAAGAAAAATATTAAACCACTTACTTCTTGCATCTAGGAAAGTAGCTGGCACATTGTTAGAGCTCAATGAATGGTATTCATCCTCTGGTCTTTCACAATTTACCTTACAATCTTAATCAAATTAATGTAACAATACTTTGTTACTTTAAGATAGTAGTGCTCTTTGTGCTCTGATACTCAAGAGATTCTAAGAGTAGTACAAAGTATAAAACTGTGTTGTAGGCTTGGGCGCCAGGGCTCAGTGATTAGGGCTCTAGCCACATGCTCTGGGGCTGGTGGGTTTGAATCAGGCCCTGGTCTGGTAAACAACAACAAAAAATTGGCTGGGTGTCATGGCGTCTATACAGTCCCAGCTACCCAGGAGGCTGACTCAAGAGAATCGCTTGCGATCAACAGTTTGAGGTTGCTGTGAACTATTATGCCATGGCTCTGTCTTAAATAAAGAAAACAAAAAAGCTTGGCACTGGTAGCAGTGGTTACGGTGCTGGCCACATGCACTGAGGGTGGCGGGTTTGAACCCGGCCTGGGCCAGCTAAACAACAATGACAACTGCAACAAAAAAACAGAACAAAACTGTGTTCTACAGACTCAGTTTTGATGCTGGTGACATTAGGGACATGACAGTGTTTTTTTAGGTTGTTGAGGGTAAAAGGCCTAGAGAGATATACAGTGATTCCCCCCAAAGAAAATACTTTCGCGGACACCTGGTCCCCTGCCAGCTGCTGCCTAATTAATTACTTTTAGGTCCAAGTTTTTTGTTGTTGTTGTTTAGCAGGCCCGGCAGGGTTTGAACCCCTACCCCCCCATCCCACCCCCGAGCATGTGGCCAGCGCCCTAACCACTGAGCAACAGGTGCCCTTCACGTTTTATTAATACAGTTGAATACTCACAGTTGTAAAATCCCAAAGACCTGCAACACATACGGACTGAAGTGAGGCAAAGGCAGGATACACATGCCTATGCATCCTTGATTTTGTACACATTTCCTTTCATTTAATTCTTACCTGGCTTCATTCTTCATGTCTATAAATCACCTTTAAGGTTAAGATCACTTCCCAGCTCCTCCAAATGGTTTCCCAGCTTTATATTCATATTTATTTCTCACCTACGTACATTACACTTTGCCCTGACGGCTACTTTGGGATTTAGGATATGTCTCTGTTAAGCACGGGCTTGCTATCTGTAATACATTTAATTTCAGAGGGAGGCTCTACTCTTAACCCGAGAACCAAGCACATGGCCAAAACACAGGGATGAGTGTGATGAAAAGAAATGGCATAAGACTTAGATATTAACCTAAGAAAATATGCATAATCTCCCGACTCCAGGTCAATCACAGGCATCTATGTCCCCCAAAACTCGTTCCATCTTGAAAAAGCCGCCGCGCGGACAGAAGCCTTACCATCGGTACAGAAGCTGTGACCTCCAGCAAGATTTTAAAAAGGAGGGGGGACACCGCATGTTCGGTCAGACGTGTGAACCAGTCAGAAATGTTCGTAAGCTAGGCCTCATACTTACATGGGACGCCAGCCAAATCCGCGTGCGAGTAACCTGCTCCGCCAGCTCCAAAAAACCCAGCCAAACCTCCTGTAGTTTTGTTGCCGCTGCCCCCGCCGCCTTCCATGATGTCGTAGCAAACTGTCTGCTTCCCGCCGCTGCCTCAGGCCGAGGTCGTGGATTTGGCCGTTGCTTCTCAGTACCAGCGGGGGACCCGCGTTACCACCGCCTCCTTCACACGCTGACCTTCCGGGCGCCGGTACCCGCTGAGCATCACACTTCCGCTTTGCGGCAGAGTACGCCCCGGAAGCCGGAAGTGCCTCACGGCAGCTTTCCGGTGGTGGGAAAGTGAACGAAGTCCGAATCAAAGCGCCGCGTCCTGATGCAGGTGGGGTGCCTGTGGAAGAGGGAAGGCAGGCGACTGCATAGGGCCTGACTCGGGAGGCCAGCGGATCGGCACCTGCAGAAGCAGGCAGCGGCAGAGAGGGAATGGTGCGGGGAGGCGCTGAGAAGGCGGCGCAGTCAGTCCCTCTCAGGGTTAGTGAATGAGGCTCTCCGTCCGGGCCGGCCCGGGGACTGTGCGCTGCGGGTCCCAGCATGAGTGCGGGCCCCGGCTGTGAGCCCTGCACCAAGCGACCCCGCTGGTGCGTTGCTGCAACTTCTCCGCCTGCTGCTTCCGACGCCCGGAGCTTTCCCGGCAGGCAGAGGCGCGTCCTCGACCCCAAGGACGCTCACGTGCAGTTAAGGGTCCCACCGTCCTCGCCAGGCTGCGTCCCGGGGCGGGCGGGACCGCACAGAGGCCGCGTCACCTCGCTTGGTACGTGGGGAAATACAAATCTTTGTCCTTCGCCTCGGCCAGTACCTCCTCCTGGCGCAGGGGTGCAAGTTACTCCTTTCCGTTTTTGTATACACCACCATAAAGTCCCCTTGTTTACCCATCAAGGCCACTTGTGGGGGAATGGAGTCACATTTTTCGTCGTACAATGGGTGGTGTGAAAAACTCCGATGAGCAGTCACAGGGTGGAAAATGACAGGGGACTCCACCTGTTTGCTTTCCTCAGGTTTGATGGAGAAATTGCCGTAGTCGTGAAGGAGGTCTATTTGTGTATGTGAAGTAGTAGGGTGCTTCATCCTGTAGATGGAAAGTTGTTGCAACTTCACTTGTTCGGATTCTGGGTCCCATTGTACTTGTCCTTGGCATACAGTGTTAAAGAAGAGAAAATTGGTCTCCACTTTCATATTCTAACATCTATGGAAAGATAGCCAATAGCAGAAGTCAATATAATAAAGGGTAATGGATGTTCTGATAGGTGAGGGAGGGCAGTATGTTCTCATAGGAGACAGGTGTACCTAACCACATGTATGGAATCAAAAGTAGTCCTCCAGAAGATGAGATGCTTATTCTGAGGACTGAAGAATGAGTAGGAGTTAGGTTAAGAGGAAGAAAGGGAGTGTTTCAGGAGTGCAGATGATGCCTACAGTGAACAAGGACAGTAGTAAGAGATAAGGATGCAGATGAGTAGAAAAAAAAATCTGATCAAATTGGATATTTAGGCAGTGCTAAGGATTTTTAACTTCCTCAGTGAGGGGAATGAGAAGAAAGTTTTTAGCAGGGGAGCGACTCAATTAGATTTTTTTCTTTTTTTTGAGACAGAGTCCCACATTTTTGCCCCTCAGTAGAGTGCTCTGGCCTCATAGCTTACAGCAACCTCAAACTCTTGGACTCAAGCGATTCTCTTGCCTCAGCCTCCCAGTAGCTGGTACTACAGGCGCCTGCCACAACACCTATGTTTAGAGATGAGGTCTCATTCTGGCTCAGGCTGGTATAGAACCTGTGAGCTCAGGCAATCCACTCGCCTCGGCCTCCCAGAGTGCTAGGATTACAGGCATGAGCCACAGATTTTTTCTGTTTTTGAGAAGTCCCTCTGCCTGATGTGTGGAAAATAGAGAATAGATTGAAAGGGAGCACAAGTGGAGGTCCACTACTGGTGGAGTTAGTCTAGATGGGAGAGAATCATGGCTGCATCTTAGGTGTGGGCAGTAAGAAAGGAGAGAAGTGGATAAATTCAGGAAACTTGGGTTTGTACCTCAGAGGGAAAATGTCTGCTGGAGAGATAGATAAGGGGGTTTTGGCAAAAACATTATGAGTGTAGATTAGAATGTGTAAGCATGTCAGGAAAGTAAAGGTAACCCAGGGCAGTATCTTTGGGAACACCATTTAAGGGTAGACTGAAGGGAAGTAGCCATAGAAATAAAAGGAAAGCCAGGTGTGTGTGTCATTTACAGAAAAAAGGCATTTTAAAAAGGTTGCAGTAGTCAACAGTGTAAGGCTGGACAGAGATCAGTTGATCCTCTAGTGCAGTGGTTCTCAACCTTCCTAATGTTGCAACCCTTTAATACAGTTCCTGTGGGTCATGACCCACAGGTTGAGAACTGCTGCTCTAGTGAATGGTGTGCATTTAGATGTCTTAGGACTTAGAGGAAGTGGAGAGGAGACTTACACTAAGTCTTGAAGGATGAGCAGGATTTGCTCTATAAATAAAGAGGAGAAAGAATTATACTGGCAGAAAGAATAGCACATGCAAGATGTTCATAGAGACAGAGCACAGGCTGACAGTGTTAAATGAGGCTGGATGGTAGGCAGGAATTCATGGACTCTTCATGTCTTCATGAACAAACTCAAGTACCATTCAAGGATTTGAAGTTTATTCTGTGGTTAATGGGGAGGGTTGGACACTAAAAAGCTTTTTAGCAAGGCAGGGGATACCATGTGGTTAGTATTTTAGAAAATATGGCTTAAGCAGTGGCTTTTGGACTTTTCTGACTACAACCAATAGTATAAATTTTGTCCTGTACACACAGCATGAAATAAGTGTAACCTGCTATATATAACTGAAACAAATGTTTCATGAAATAATACTTACCCTTGCTGTGTATGATGAATTCTTAAGTTGTATTATTCATTGAAAAAAATGTTAGTCATTTGTAGCTCATACAACACTGGAATAGTAAAAGTCAAGAGTGTAATAAACAGGAAGACCAGTTGCAGGAAACAATAGTTGTCTGAGTAAGTGATGTATTTAAGGGCTGTACAAAAGAAATGTATTTAAAATTTGGAATGTTGATTTCAGGGAGCTTGGTATGGGGAAATATAACTGAAGGTGAACTTCAGATACTATATTTGACTTCTGTGACTGGGTAATGTGGTTCTAGTAACTTTGCATGTAATGCGGAGGAGTTCAGTTGCCTGTGGAGGTGAGGGCAGTCTGTCTTCACTGATTGTATCTTACGTTTTCTGCAGAAGAGGAACCAAATTAAAATTTGGGCTGTATTTCACATGTATAAATGTTTTCTGTATGCCTGGTACAGGATACCAGTTAGGATGTTTGAAGTGTAAATTTGTGTCAAAAAACCATTGTTTTAAATTTTGGACTTCTTTTATAAGCTTGGTGTTAAAAATGTTTAGGTATAGTTACCCTTGGAATAAGTAGATGAGGTAAGGAAATGGATATTATTCAGTATCTTTAAGTTTTATGTTATCTTCCTGATAACACATTTCTTATATTGACTGAAATAGGCAAATCTGTGTGTTGGCAGAACTTAGCATGCTATTCACACTCTAGTGAGGAAAGGCTCAGCCAGCTGTGTTCTTATGGGAGATGTTTGTGGAAGTTAGGCGTTCCTTTGAACTGCAGGTGAATTTTAGTGCACTTTGGGCCTTTGACATTTGTCTAGAACTCTTAATTGAATGACAGTGAAATACACTGGTTACTCAGTAATGTTGCTAATGATTCTAAGTGTAAATGATGTGAAGTCAGGATAAAGTTGGAGTACTACTGATTTTGGTGAAATAGAGATTGGGTGAAAGTGTTGGCAGAGAATACATTTGTTGAATATCCGCTATTGAGGCTAGACACATAGCGGATATTCAGCAAATATTTTCTCTCATTTTTGTATTGTCATTGATTCACATAACCTTTGGAAGTAGGTGTTGTTAACCCCATTTTCTAGATGAGGAACTTGAGGCTCAATGAAGTGAAGTAACTTAACAAAGATGATGCTAGTAAGTGAGTGAGCAAAGACTTCAATCCAGGATTACTTGACTCTGTCAGGGGTGTCTGTGCAAATTATGTAAAGACTTTTTTTCTTATCTGTGATGGTGAGTATCACAAAAATTATGCCTGGACCTTTTGTTTTTGCTCATTGGCTTTTGTTAGTGTTTGTTTACATATTTAATGTGTGACCCAAGATTGCTCTTCTTCCAGGTAGCCCAGAGAAGCCACAAGGTTGGATACCCCTGTGAGATCTTGTATCTTTTTTTGTCATTTCTTACTGCTTCTCTTTTTGTGCTGAATTTTTTAGTTAAAAGAAGGAAATTCCCAGGAAACCTGGGAAGCATCTTTTTATTCTTACTTCAGGCGTAAGAGAGGCAAAGCTCTGAAGCAGACCTGTGATGTGTTGGAAAAGAAGCCTTTGGAAGCTAGAAGTAATGTATTGAAAGAGTAATAAGCAGTCTTTTCTCTGGGACCCTCAGAAGGACTGAGGAATGCTTTATTAGCTGGAAATACTTGGTTTCTCATCTCTTGCTTTTCCTTTTTTCCTTTTTCAGGCTTTAGAAATCATAATCAGAATTCTGAAGCTGGAGAGAGAACACATTCTTGGTGTCAGGGCTGTAAGCGAGTGCCCTCTTCTTCAGTTTCACTGGGGCACTGCTCGTTTTTCATGATGTATGCAGTCTTTAGGTTCTGTAGACTTGATTAGTGCAGTACAGTGCTTCATGTGTATTGCAGAAACCTGGTCATTGCATCCTTACATTTAATTCTTATGCTTATGAAATTTTGGACATACTTCTGGATTTGTGACTTGAGGATTTTTCTGAAATATTCTTGCTGTGTTTGATATAGAGAAATTAAATAGAGAAGATGGGATTATAGAAAAGGTCTCAGAATCAAATGATTCATTGTCTTATTCTTTTCAGACTGAAGCCAGTTTTTTCCTCTGAATCCTGATTTGATGAAGAAATACTAAGTAAAATTACTAAAATAATGTTTAGCAAGAAATACCAACTAGATATAATTACTTTTTTGTGAAAGAAATTATTTAGAAAAATACTAATCAAAGATGTTTACTAATTGGATCATTACTGTTTTATGGAAGGTAAAAGTTACCTGGCAAGCTGGACTTGGTGGCATGTGCCTCTAGTCCTCCAAGCTCCTCAGGAGGCTGAGGCAGGGGATTGCCAGATCCCTGGAGTTTGAGACTGCAGTGAGCTGTGATTGCACCACTGTACTCTAGCCAGAGTGAGACTCTTGTCTCTTTAAAAAAAACAACAAAACACATGGCAATTGAATATAATATATTTCTGGTATAAAATTGTCCCCATATCTGAAATGTATTTCAATTGTGTCATTATCTTAGTGATAAACTGTGGATTTTCATGTGTTTGAGCCTGTATCTGTTTTGCTCATATTCTTATTTATATAGGTAAATAAAAATGACTTTATGGCTTTAAGGTGCCTAGATGCTTACATTGCAATATAGAGTAGTTGAGAATGTTTAAAATTTTGTTACCTTGTATTAAAATATGGTGTACATTTAATCCCCATCTAATACATTAAATGTTAATAGCACACTTATTTCTAATGCTTATATAAAATGTGACTTGCATTTATTTATATTGCATCTCTCTTTCCTTCAAGCTATCAATTATACTTTTGCTACTGTCTCTTGGTCATTTCTATCTATTTATTCCTTAGTTTCAAGCTTAGTATGTGCAGAATTGACCTAATCACATTTTTCCTAAATGCAGTTCTCTTATATTTCATATTTCTATTTAAGGGCATTACCATCTTTCACATCTCAGCCTTAAAGCTTAATGTCACTTTTAACTACTTTGCCATTACGAGTATGTAATGACTCTCCTTAATTTTATTACTCTCGAAAGGACTAGTTTTGGTTCTTGGCTTATAATTCTTCAGTAATCAAAATTACTACTCTTTTTTTTTTTTGGAGACAGACTCTTACTATGTCACCCTCCATAGAGTGCCATGGCGCTCACCACAACACCTGGCTTTTTAATTTTTTTTTAAATTGCAATTATCATCATTGTTTGGCAGGCTGGGCTGGATTTGAACCTGCCAGCTTCCGTGTATATGTCTGACACCCTAACCGCTGAGCTACAGGTGCCAACCCCCAAATTACTTTTTGAAACCACAATATTGATTCTAGCTCCTCTCTGG